CCTAAATTTCACTTACCGTATGCATGGAAGGAAGATTGAGTAAGAAGAGAAGTAGTTTTCTGCCTGCTGCCCTACTGTACGTGATAGCATTTTTTTTCCAAAATGTTCTGGTCTCTGTTCACATTTAAATGAGATGATGATTCTTTCGGTCAATGACAGTTCCCACTAACACTACAAATTAGTAGTATTTTAAAGTTAAACTTCTGTTACACTTGCAATTGCTTTTAAAGTTCAGAACTACTAAGTCAACTTTGAAATTAGATTCAAACTTCACCAAGGCCTTAGGGAAGTGTGAAACAGAAGACCGCTATGAGCAGAACTTTAGTGTGAGTCCTTCACTGTCTGTAGTGTGGATTTGTGGCATGTGCCCTGTTCACAAATCAAAAGCATGGGGGGAAAAATCAGTCCAGTATCAGAAAAGCTGTAGTATCTAATGTGGAGATTGCAATGAGTTGTTGCAAGTGCTAACAAGCACTTTAAAGACGCCCCATAGGATTTATCATTTGGTTGCAGTTCAGACAATTGAATTCTCCTAACAGTGCCCGTTTCCATGCGTTTTCCTATAAACATGCAGTATCTTAGCTAAATTTAAATCTTGCATGAAGTTTAATTTTCTATTATATTAACTAATGCTTCAATTTTGCTTATGAAGTCCACTGATATTCCATAAATTAAGAACTGTGACTTAAAAAATGCCTCTTCTGTAATACTAAACTCCTGGCATCTCTCTGGAAGAGGCACCATTATTCAGTGTGCTCTATTTCTGTTCTTCAAGGAGAGCAAAAAACCTCAAAGCAGGCTGCAACAAGCCCTGGTTGAAGATTTCTTTTAGTCAGCACAACTCCTATGTCTCTATCCACACTGAAAGGCTCATTGTTAACTCCCAGCACTAAAGAAAAACTAAAGAGAATTGTTCAGAAGGTTCTGATCTTTCCTAGGAGTCAAAATCTCACTCCAAGCTTCAGACCACTCAACCACCACTAGCGGTAGCTTCTGAAATATAAGCTTGACAAGTGGAAGAGGAAACCCTGTGGATTCTTCTACTCTGAAAACTGAAAAACCTTTCAGTTCATTTTAAGTATCTTGAATTCTACATGTAAAAATAAGATCCATCCATCCACCATGAGGCAGACAATGGCATCCAACTTGTAAATATGGTTAAGTTATTCTATCTTCCATAAGAAAACCCTGCAAGATGCAATAATTACAAGGTGTCTTTAATCTTTTCATGAACCCTCTAAGCTAGTGATGTTGCAGAAGGCCAGAGAATAACATTCTATGGCTGCATAGGCCTGTCATTACAGAAAAAAGACACATGTTCTGAGCCAATAAAAGGGTTTAATCACCTGTATCCCAAATTACTGACAAATTACCCAACAGTGACATTGCATTCATGCTAACGATTTAGGAGAAACAAAAAGTCAGTACACCTGAGAATACTGCACCTGAAAGACCTAGTTAACTTGATAAGCAAGATTACAAAAGGCTGCAGTCAGCTCAAGGGCAGGAGAGGGGAGCTGAGGTGTTTGGAATGTAAGTGTAAGAACTACTTTTCTTCCAGCAAACCTCAGCAGAAGACAGGATTTTGGGGTGAACCTCTGTTGCATCAGCAGCACACCAGGAATCAGCTGCTTATTGTTGGTGAGTGACTTGGAATATTTCTAAGCAAATTCATTCATAAAGGAAGAGTTCTTTAAAAGTTGCCAGAGGACTGGTAAAGGAGGTGAGGGATGCCTGACTCTGGAAAGTAAGAGAATCGCTTGTGTTCCAGGACCTTGCCATGACAGAGTATTTCTCGCAGATAAGCCATGACAAAAATACAATCCACTCCAATTTTCTGTTCCTTCTTGTGGTACTATGATTTTTCACATTAATCAAGATACCATTTGCCAGAATTTTTAGAAGTCTTTAGCCTATACAGATGAGTCAACTTTGTACTTCTAGGCTAGAATTAACAAACTGTAGTAGGTGAACTAGGCTTGCTCATTTTACACTAATTTTGAGGTCAGGAGGTCATGTTATGGATGCCATTGCTTTAAAGTGCTAAGAAGGCTCTTCCTTACTGTCTCAATTTGATGGAACCAAGAAACTCTGAAGGTCTTCTAGTTTCTTTGCCTTTGTGCAGGCTTGCCTATATTTTCTCTTTAGGTTTCACTTAGATAACAGGAAAAATGTTAACATCTGTTATCCTCTTAGTGGTGTGCAGCCTGTCTGCCAGTTGCACTCTTGCTCAGCCGCAGGGCTGATAGAGGGCACTCCAGGCCCACATGTCCCAAGTCCGTGACACGGCTCAGTCCCCCGGCTGTGTGCACAGCTGGATTTGCTTGAAAGGAACGTCCTAGTGAGCAGCACTTGAAACGCTGTCCTGCCAGGCTCTTGCCTGAACCATGCTGTGGAGAGAATGTCAGCAACTGAAAGCCAAAACCTGCAGTCTTGACTCCGGTAGCCACGCCAAGTGCTGGTTTATAGCTTGCTTTTTTTTTTTTTTTTGCTGGGGGTGTTTGGGGGAGCACTAGCAGTACCGGAGTACTCTGTGATCTGGCTTGTTCCCCATCATAGTCCATGAGCATGAATCAAACATCCTTTTTAAAATACTGAATTGGAACTATTCCGCATTGCTTTCAATATCGATCTTTCCTGAAGAGGATTCTGCGTTGCGATTAACTGTAGGAAGATGTGTTTATTACAAGATGTCCTCAGTAGAAAATGAAATAGAGTTACTAGAAATGTTTCATACTGATAGTACTATGCTATGGATATTTATTCTGCTGATGCATATGATGACAATGTTGTGAGACCAGTTTTGTTCTGAATGCTCCCAGGATGCGACAATCTGGTGTGCTTGCAAGTGGATATCTAACATTAACTTTAACAGAAGCTGGCTAAAAAGTAGCTGTTACAAAGCTGCCATAGTTGTTACTCTACTTGACAGCATGAGCTCTACAAGCTTTCCTGTGGGTTCTGTTTCTCCTGTGCCTACTTTTACTAACGTACTTACCCTTTTTGCTTCAAACACCCAGTGGCTTTTTCCATCTTCATCAATCTGGTTCCACCAACGCAAACCAACCAAAAGCCTTCCTGTCACATTCTAGTGACAGAAACAATTATTTGCATTATTCAGTTGCATAATTCACTTGTCGGAGTAACATTTTTTTTAAAAAAAAAAAGACAAGCATGTCCGAAAAACGTATCTTTTTGTCAAATACTAAAATTAGTCATAAAAGCTGTGCCAGCTTGAGCACAACAGTCATTAAGGATGGATGAGTTACCACAAATTTAGAGGCCTGTTCTCTTCTAATATGACAATTAGCACAATAATTTTGATTTAGATAAGAAATTATAGGATGTATCTTTTCTAAGTCAGTTAGTTGGAGAAGCCCCCAATAAACAAATTTCCTCAGTAAGAGAGGAGAACTGTAAACAAAAACATACCAGAAAAAATGGAAGACTAATTATAAGCAAGTAAGCTGTATGGAAACAAGCAAACAAATTCAGAAAATATTTCTGCACATGGACGAATACTAGAAGTTCTCAGTATACTGGAGATATATCAATGCTTCACTCCTACAAACAAAAGCCTTGTTCCACATGTGGAGCCCCTGGGATTCTGGGCTGGCCTGACCCACCTGCCTACACATGATTGGGGCACTAGTGCCATAGCTGGGCTCCCAGGAGCCTTCTGCAGCTCCTGCATGCTGGGTGGGCACAGAATTGTGGCTTTGGACATCTTTTGGCATCTGTTACTGAAAGCCAGTGTTACTTTATTTTTTTTTTTAAGGGGGAAAGTATACAAACAAATCTACCTACAGCAAGGCAAGTGCCTCACTGTATTAGTAGCTCTCATCACCCATAGAGAGCACAGCGATAAACAGGAACTAAGGTACATAAGTGTCTTAATTAAAATGGGCTAGACATTTAACAAATCAACAGATCACAATGGTTTTGTCACTTTTGTCAGTACACATATTTCCTTTTTTATTTAATGGCAAACAAAGCACTTTCAAAGATAGTTACTATTCAGAGTCATCTTACCTTAACTGACCAAAAGTCAAATGATAGAAGGAGGAGAATAGTGACAAAACAGGCAACAAAGCTGTTGCTGAACCAGTCACAGAACAAGTAGGTAATAATAGCACTCACTCGGAAAAACAGGTGGAAAAATGTGGCCAGTGGGTGCCTAGGAAAAAAAAAACACAAAAACACACATAAGACTTAGGAAGTTATGGGACAAGAAGGAATTTTACAGTATTTGCTAACCAGGTAGTATAACACAGCTATTTCTAGTCTATAATGGTGTTTTGGTTTGTAGCTGCTATGATTTCCTATGTTGACGTGTATCTTCATTACCAAAGCAATGGTGTTTCCAGTAGTCAGCCTTCAATCTAAAGCTAAAAGATGGAGTATATTGCTCACATCAAAACTTCCTCAAAGAGTAAAATTTAGAGTCTTTCACCAGTTTCTTTGGTACCGCATGAAGGAATTTAGTAGTTGTGTTCAACATTGTACCCTAAAATCCTCATTGTTTCAGGAAATAAATCAGCATTGCAGGCACAAAAGAATTGAGGTAGATCTTATGCCTTTAAGAGCTGTTTTGAAAACAAGATAGAAACTCTGAAACTCAAAAAAAAAAATGTGGCTGTAGGATATAAGACAAAATGAACTTTCGTATACAATGTCTGAAACTAAACGCTTCCTCTTACAGAGGCAGTATGATTTGGGAATCTAACAGTTCTTATGAATGAATGCTTATTAATTTCACTAGATATTTGTGCTTTGCTCATCAAACAAAATTCTGTATGTAACAAAATAAAGGGGAATTTCAGTGGAAGAATTAACTATATGGCATAGAATATTGGCCTGTACAGTAAGACAGGGGTGTGGGAGAATGCTGTAATGAGCACAGTACAATTTTCAGGGTAATATGCCAAGTACAAAAACTTATTCTGTACACTTGTGTTTGTGTTAATTAGTTTAAAATGACGACTACAGGCTATTGCATTTATGTAGCTTCTTCCCTTGAACCTGAGTGAATAAAACTTGTTTTGTGAATAAGATTTTATTTTTTAGTCAGCAATTGTCTCATAAAGCTCTTCTACCTCTGCAACCAATTAACAGTAGGATGGCCTAGGTCCATTAGTTATTCAACTATTAAATTTGTTATTCTATTATTGTGTATAATAAAATTATACATATAATTTATACATAATCATAATTGCTTATTATAAACTTTAATTATAGTTTGGTTTTAAATTGTAATAGTTGCTATATTTATATCCTTATTGTAATATTATCATTCTATAGCTATTTAACTGTTCTAGTAATTATCTATTTATAATGGCAATATTGTCCTTGTAGTACTACACACACATGACTGGAGAAGCCAGAATGATGCACAGCTGTAGTTTATATTTACTTCTGAACATGCCCATGCTAACCTCAAACTTTCCAAAAACTTCTTCTGACTTAAAACTAAACACATACACTTTAAGCAAAAGGAGCTTTTTCTGCCGTAAGCAGATGTGTGGGTGGGTGGAGCAGAGGAAATATTGGGAACTGTCAAAAACAGACGATGTCTTCCTACTTCAAGTCTTGATCTCATTCAGGAAGGTGTAAGAGTTCAATACAGAAGTGGCATCTTGTGTCAATACAAGCTGTTCATAGATCACAGCCCTAAAGTGCATCAGGGTGGACTGAACTTTTATAAGTTTGAACTATGCTTCAAACGTGGAAGTAACTTTGAAGAAGCATTGTTTCATTTTGGATGTCAGATGATAAATTACTGTTTGGATGCTGCATCTGTTCCAATACCAAACTTTGAAGGGTTTTTACTTAAAAAAAAAAAAAACCAAAACCCAACAAAACAACAGTACCATGAGCAAGAGGCTCACATTTACAACAGCACTAAACACTTTATTGAGGCTATGGAATATCAGTTGTCTCACAAGGTTACGTCTCACAAAGACACTGACTTGCAGGGTCTTGTCCTGGGGAGTAATATGGAGGTATATCAAAGTTGCACCTCATTCTTTGGACAACTCTCTCAATTTCAGAACAGGTCCACCTATTTATGCTTTAAATAGATATATATGTGTATGTGTGTATATATATCTCCCCTGAAACTAACAGAAGCCAGTAAATAAATTGTTCACTTCCTTACTTAACAGATTTGTTCTCTTAATTTACACCTATCAGATGAAACTTATAGCTCCTATCATATACAAACAGAATTTTTAATAAGGAGATAATCCCCGATAGATAAAATAGTATTTTAAAACCTGAAGCTAAACCATCTGCATCCTTTTTGAAACAAAAAAATCTTACAGCTTTTCTTAAGCGAATGCTTATATATGGAATTCATCTGTACTTTGTAGAATTTTTTAAAAGCTAATTTCCATAAATACGACGGCACTAAGAAATCATTGTATGAACTAACACGATGTTTTGTACTAATGCAAGACAGTACAGGCTTTAAAACATGATAACTTGTCTCTCTTTTTGCATTCAAATCCAATAAAGGATAAAGAGAACTAAAACTCTGCACTGGCTCCGCTTGGCAAACGTTTGCTCCCGAAAGCATAGAACCCACTTGCTTGGACTCTCAGTTATCCTGTTGCATCTAAATATTAACGTAGTGTAGAACTGGAGCCTTAAGGCTAAACAATTACCACTTTTCTTGTAACAACTTCTGTTCAGTTTGCAAGCATGATGCCTATTGGGATAGCAATAAGCTGTTATGAATTTAGTTGCATCCCATATTAAGAAATCCAATTGGATCAACCTAAGGTGCAGCACTTAGGTATAGCCACAGGAGAATCATTCCCAGTACCTGCTCAGAAGTGCCATGGCAGCACTCTACATGCTGCTGCTTATACCTCTGTCTAGTACTGCAAATATATCTGGGCCAATTTTGACAAACAGGATCTCTGGCCTGATCATCTTGTGTTACCTGGCTGATTTGAAAAGATGCTCCTTGCTGTTCCAGATTAAATTTTCTGACTGATACTGCAATGAACTGCAAAGATGGTGTAAGTTATCTTTTTCCTAACTTACTTATGAAAGTAGCTACTAACTAAATCACTATCCACACACCTTTTGCTTTTAAGGAGCACTTGCACGTACCTTGGAGGATCACAAAAGCACAACCTGTCATAGCTTATGCAAATTCTAACCAAGTTTAAGATGCATGAAATTGGGATAAACTTAGACAAATGATTTGAACATGTTGTTATGCCCTCTAATAACACAATAACATTTTACAGCACATGGGTGTGTTGCAGGCTTGTTTGCACAAGATTCTTCAGAAATACAAAAACAAAGTTCTGTGTGAACAATGTGAGAAGTTTCATTTCTGTATTCTAGAGCAGAAGATTTTTCAGAATGAGATTATCTTTTAGTATTTCACAACGAGGACAAGAAAGAAGAGCCATCTCTAATGAAATAAGCATCTACACAAAGTGAATCAATTCACAAAGTGAAGTATAGTTTTGATACTTTTGATACTGATACTTTGCCTGTCTATATCAGGTAGCATGAACCAGTAGGAATGGATCTCTAAAGTAAAGCAGACCTCCAAACATTTCAGGGTGGTTTCACTTCATGCTAACTCTAGTCTGGTCCCAAAGACTGAATCTGTGGCTCATGTCCTCAAGACACACTTCTAAACTGTATTTTCAAGTTTAGTTTAATCCTTTAGGCTATGTTCTCCAAGAATGCATCAAAATATAAACCTTTGTATGTGTCTTGCTGTTAAAGCACAGAAACAAAGCAACTCTGGGAATGTTAATGTTGTGTCATGACTGACTCATCATACAGTTGCAAAGTCTGATGTACTGGAAGGGCAGAAACACTTCCCCAAACACTAGTATAAATGGATTAATTGTATTGTAAAGTTACGTGATTGCTTGTTTGCGTATCTTGGATCATATTTGTGTTAGGCTTAACATCTTAGTTTTCCCTGTTTATGCCTACACGAAATACTAAGATTTTAATGGACCAGAGTAAGCTGGGGGAAGGTGGAAGGGAAGAAAGCAATATGAATCAAAGCTGATATTATATAATTATTGCATGCATATGTGTAATTCCTTTTGACACACAATTTTTCCTTTGACACGTTTTGACTGGACATTCTTCAAAAGCCACTGATGGAACAGCAGCTCTGTTGCCTGGGACCTGAGCGTGGACAAAGCTGCAGAGTGACACCTCTGGTAACGTAACTGTATACTGCTTAACCTGGCAGATGAGATGAATCAATGTGTTGGGCTTTCTTAGGTAACAGCTACAAGGATAAGATATACTGTATTTCACATAACATCACATCCTGTGGTAGGAAAACACGACAGTCTCATTGCAAATATCCTGCTGTTTCCCTCCAGCCAGGTGTGCGATGCAGCGCCGGAGCACCGTGCTGCACAACTCGTTTTGCTGAAGATGAGAGCCTTCCACTTCTCCAGCTCTAACAAAAGCACTGTTTGGTTGGGTTTGGGGTTTATTTTTGTGATGTTGGCTTCGGGTATGTAAAGCTTCTGTTTCCAGTGGCAGGGTGATGCCGACCCCACCGTGCAGCCGGGCCGGCAGCAGTGGTTCGGGCCGCGGGCCTGGCAGGCACTGGGGCTGGCTGCCAGCACTGGGCATCTCTGGGACAGACTAGGCGGCCGGCCCAGCACTTGACCACCCATCCTGTGAAAAACGGTAATTAAGCGTTTAAACGGTAATACAGGTAAGGTAAGATTCCTGTATTTCAGTGCGCCAGTCCGGCTGGAGCAGCAGGGGCTGCCCAGGCCCGGTTGCC